TGAGGCGGTCCCAGGTTCCCCTCTGCTCATGAAGGAACCGTGACTTCCCCCGGCTACGAGCGATGAGGGACTGAAAGAAGATGATGGTCAGAATACAAAAAATGCGGAGAAAGGAAAGAGTGAGAAGCAGGATCAAGCAAATACCCGGCCAGCGGGAACAACAATGTCGGCCAAGGCACCCCGGGCATGGTCCAGGCTTCGAGCACGGACGCAACCCCCACATCGAGGCTCTCCCGCTCCATGCTCTCAGCGTCGTCGTCGAGAGTGAAGAGCGTCGATGCTAGGTCCTGTGGATTTGTCCACTGGAGCAGGGGCTCGCCCCATGCAGGCGAGTCACTGCCCACCGATGTCAGGGCCAGAGATGACTCCCCGCCGGCTCCAAGTGCCGCCGAGCCCTCTCGCCGGGACTCCCCCGTCGGGACGCCTCCTCCGGCGACGGAAGGGGTCAGCGGTACGGATACCGACCTCTCCCCCAGCACCATGATGCCCGAGGACCCCTCAGACGCATCCCCCTTCGTCCGGCCCACGCCAGACTCTGTCACCTGGGCCACCGATGGCACGGGTCACGCTGGTACCTCAGGCGCCACCACGATAGTGCCCGGCTGTGACCAGCCTTTCACAGCCGCCGACACCTCCACCTGCGCTGGCAGGGTCATGACTGGTTGTGTTGTGCCCACCGTGGTCGGCGCCACAAGCGTGGCCGGCAGTCCTGTCTGTCCCATCGACGGCAGCAGTATTGTCGCCATCACCGGCTGCTCTGCGACCTCCGAAGGCGCCCCTTGGGCCCCCACGTCCGCCTGTCCCGCTGAAGGCACGGGCGCTGCAACGGGCAGCGCCTGTCCGGTGGAGACACGGTCACACTGGCGATGATTTCTTGGGAATAGATCCGTGCCTCGTTGAATTCTATCTGTGCAAACTTTGGGAATGAATCATGGAGCTTTGATTCGGATTTCGTTGTTTTTGGAGCCCACCTTTTCACTGTTCATGGCGGTCGGGTGCCCTTGGTCTCTGTTCGTCGTGCACAGGTTTCAGGTTGGGGGCATCGATGTGTGCAGCCATGCGCGAGCAAGATCCTCACCCCTGTAGCTCTCGGTCCAGGACCGATCGATGCTCGTGCCCGTGCCCGCTGTTCTACGTCGTGGTTTTCTTTCTTCTCTCTGCGTTGCATCTTGGCAGCAGGAGTCGGACTCCAGGGTGCTCTCAGTTCGGTCCGTCTCCTGCTTGTTCTGCGTCGGTGAGCAGCCCCACCGTCGCGGCTCTCTCCCTCCGGTCGGTCTTTGTGCAGGTCGCGTGTGAGCTCGCCCAGCACCGAGCGGTGCCCGTCCGCTCCCAGGCAGAGCCGGACTCGTTCCTTGCCGTGCGGTCTCCTCTCTCCCTCCCTTCTTTTCTTTCGGCTGTCACTGGCAGGGATGGTGTACACCGCCTCAGAACGAGCGGTGCACCGCCCCCAAGTGTCCGGTGCCCTCCAGTCCATCCGTCAGCTTTATCTCTCTGTCCAGAAATTGCTGGTTCGAATTACCGGTTCAGCAGCTTGCAATTTCTAGTCAGTTCTATTGTTTCGCTTGTATCTTCGAATTGAGTTCCGGTTATACGTTGGCTTCTAACCGCTCTATCTACTCTCGTCACCTGTTGGTTTGGGTATTTTAGATTCGAGAATATTCGTCGTGTCTTGATCTTGGTGGTGAATATGGGACAGTAGCTGAATATTTCGAAAGAAATTTGAGCCTCTTGTTCACCCCATTTGTTCGCCGTTTTGGGTCTTCACATTCATTTATGGTATAATTGTCGCACTGGCCCTGACAACACATTGGTCGATCTGGATGTGCTAGTGGTAGAGCTTAGCAGCATCTGCGTTAGATATTTTGTGAATTTCCCTAAAGAAAAAAGAGAGATATTTTGTGAATTTGTACTCTCTCGCTCTCCCTCTCGCAGACGTTTGCCCCTGTCATGTTCCATTCCATTCATGATGCGTCGGCTAAACAAAGGCAAGTCTACGAGAGGAAAACAGGGAAGTGAAGGTGTTTTTCGCTTGCGGCAGGATGGATGGACCATGGACCATGGACGCAGGAGGCGTCGCTTCCACAAGAAGCAAGCAAGACAAGGAAGAAAGCGCAGGGCGACCGGGGACAAAAAGAGACGCGGTGCTTATGCTTATCCATGGAGGGGAGGTGATCATCACCACGTACTTCCGGAGTAATTAACCACGCACTACACTAGAGTAGTACACTTTGAGATACCACTGCTTAATAAGCGAGACAAAAAGAAGGCCATCTTGAAACAGAGAGTATGTGCATACATTAGGACGACAATTTTAAAAGTTTAGTGTGGTATCAGTAAGCAACCTAAGTACGTACACCCCTTTCAGCCGCTCGCAAAAAAGGCACCCGAAGTAAAGCAAATGATGAGGAGAATTGGGGTAGGAACTACCGTATGGTTGTGGTATGTAACACTAGCTAGCAGAGTGTCTGCTCTCTCTCTCTCTCTCTCTCTCTCTCTCCCAACGAACTTACATAGTTAGGTGTTCGATAAAACTGAGCCATGGCTTGGATCACGCGCGCAAAGAGGACATGGTCCAGACGGTGCAAATAAAAGAGACGGAAATGAGGAGTAGCATGCATAGAGCAAAGTTTTTAGTGGAAAAGAAATGTAAAAAGTAAAAGAAGCTAGCTGACACGTCCAAATCTCCCAGGACCAGAAATGCTGCCCCAGCCAAATTTTACCGGGATACTTTCTTAAGCCTAGGCCTCGTTCTCTTTGCAAATTTTTGCAACCCGATGAATAGTACCACTTTTGTCTTATTTGACAAATATTGTCCAATCGTAGACCAACTAGGCTCAAAAGATTCATCTCGTGATTTCCAACTAAACTGTGTAATTAGTTATTTTTTTTATCCATTCCATCAGCATTATGGTGTACCGTACGAGAGTCCCCCACCTCAGTGCCAAGGCCCTGATGTTCTCAAGCAGGCCCAGATGTCGCCGGCTCGTCGCACTTGCCATCCTCTGATGGATTCCTAATACCCATCACTTGCCCACCAGGAACGGCCGTGGCAGCACTAGAAAGCGACGACCCCACGCGTGCGGTTCCGCTCGGCAGGAGGCACCGATCATTGTCCGCCGGCCGGCCTCTCGACAGTGGCCTGATGAAGTGATGAGGACGGGATTGGGGTGGGGTGTGGCGGTGTGGGCCACCAGCTGACACCTAACAGCCTGTGCTGTTGTTTATTTTTTTGTTTCGGTCGTAGCTAGTGCTCAAGTCCACCAGTAGTTGAGCTGAAGGCCTGAAGCTGAGCCAGGCCAGAGAACTGGAGAAAGCGAAGCGAAGAAAAAGGCACAAGCCCCGGGCTCACAATGACGGAAATTCCTAGGAGCGCTACGGGGTCGCTTCGCTTTGCTTGACTGCTCCACTAAGTTTGAACTGACCAGCTGCTAGCTAGCCTTGACATTGTTATTAATAATTTCTAGTGTACTATGTACTAGGAGGTCATTGGAGATCGATTTGGACCCCCACTAGGATGGAAGTACACATGACACAGCAAAAGGTGAAGAGTAGCCATCCCATCCTCAGCATGGCAATTGCCAATTGGCACCGATTCCAGGCGCATGCGTGCGTAGCCATTTTCTGTCCGTCCACAAGTGGTGTCTACCGTTGGTTTCATCTAGAGCTTATCAGTTATGGTATAGTGTTTTTCTCTCATAATAAATCAGTATCAGCTGAGCTTATCAGCTCAGAAACGAACCAACTAACTGTCTGTATGATGATGGTTTCCATTTTCTCAGCTAACCTGGCAGGCTACAACGGCGTGACCGTTCCGTTGCTGTGGTGACCTGACCTGCTCCGAGGCTCCTCCCTTCGGTAGAGATAAAAGCGATGGGCCCTGGCTCTGCACGAGACAAACACATCGAGAGGCAGGCAGGTATCAAGCCCCACGCCTGCTTCTGCTTGGAGAATGGTCGAATGGAGGGAGAGGCAATCAAGATCAAGCCACGGGAATAACAAGACGAGCTGGCTGGATAAACAAAACCAATGAACACAGACAAGCGGCCGCGAGATACCAGGGGACAGTGTCCTATCGCTACCGGGGAACAGTCGAACAGATGCAGCAGTGAACGGACACTGTCCAGCTTCCATGGGTCTCTTGTCAGTCATCGACGACGTCTGCTGACTACTGACCGGTCTCCAGATGCAGACCATATAAAAATATATGCATGACTGCATGAGAAAAAGGAGGGAATGGTCCTTATAATCTGTTTTTTTCAAATCGTTTTTTTAGCCGGACTAGTGGTTTTGTCTCGCAACAAATCAGTTGGAACAATGTTTTATTTTGTTTTTTCAACGAAACGAACGGGCCCCAATAGACATCGTCCAATGCAACAACACTAATGTTAACTCCAAGCAGTGTCCACATTGCTGCAACCGCAAACAATAATTCAACAATTCTGAATTTCTAATGATGATATTGCTTGAACGCAAGAGGAGTATGTAATTCACCTGGAGACATTGTTAATATACAAATACAGTTGCTACAGCTGCACAGTGCGGTACCTTCCGTGAGGCTGGGACCCGTGCAGTACAGGGCTCCTCCAACAACCGCCGAAATGCCAATCCAAACAACCAATCCTTCCTGTCTCCTTCATCAGACGGGAGCTAGCTTCAGCATCAGAGGTCCGAGATAGCTCACCTGCTGGAGAACGGCGACACGGGTGGAGTATTATACTGGCATTGCCACCCCCAGCTACTGGACAGAGTCGTCGATCGACAGGGTAGAAAAGGAGGCTAGGCCTGTCAGCCTCGTGTTCCCCCTCTCGTTCCTTCTGCCTGCTTGCCTGCCATAGCACGGCGGCTCCACACCCCTGGCCTTGTGCTTCGTGCGTGCCTCCCTCCCTATAAGTACACACGGCACCGTCTCGGGGACACTTGCAGAACAGAACCATCACTAGTGACCTGCAAAGACACGCGAGGCGCGCGACCACAGCAGCTTGTCTGAATTAGGAATTAGGATGGCGATGGAGAAGAAGGGCTGGAAGGCGAGAGATGTTGCTGCCGGTGCTTTCAGCATGGACTTGGAGTTGGTGGTGGGCGAGGACGACGACGACGACGCGGTGCCGGCGATACCGCCACCGCAGACGCCGCTGGAGCCCATGGAGTACCTCTCTCGGTCGTGGAGCGTGTCGGCGTCGGAGATCTCCAAGATTCTCGTCGGTGGAGGAGGCAAGAAGAGCAGCGCTGTTGCCTCGGCGAGCCGGCTTCCGGAGGTGACTATACCGGAGCAGTCCGTGCTCGCCGCCACGTCCTCCTCCATCGTTCCTCTTCCGTGTCATCAGCAGCAGCACGTAATTAATGCACATCTCACTTCATCCTCTTTGTGATTTTATTTGGTTATTATCTCTTTTTTTTTCATCTGATTCTTGCCTTCTTGGTGCTACGGCAACATACATACAAACAGAGGGATGCAAGAAGATATTCCATGAGCAGCGGCCACCACAACCACCAATCGATCGGCAAATGGTTCCAGGTTCACCAAAGGGAGACATGCCGGGCGAAGCAGAGCGGCAAGGAGAAGCAGCGCGCCGACAAGGCGCACGTGCATGCCATGGTGTCCGTGGCCCGGGTCGCGGCCGCGGTGGCCGCCGTCGCGGCTGCCACGACCACGAGCTCCGACACGCAGGCGGCTACCAAGATGGCCACGGCCATGGCGTCGGCCACCGAGCTGTTAGCCTCCCACTGCGTCGAGGCAGCTCAGCATGCGGGGGCGCGCCACGATCAGGTGGCTGCCGCCGTGCAGGCCGCGGTTGGCGTCAGAAGCCCCGGTGATCTGATGACGCTCACGGCGGCCGCAGCAACCGGTACGCAATCTGACGGTGTCTTTGTGTCATCGGCTCATCGCATTGAAGGTTGAACTGAGTCCATGTGCTGGTTCTTGAACAAGATGCTAAGTTTTCTATGCACTTTGGCTGTGTCCATCACATCAGCTTTGCGAGGAGCAGCGACACTGAAGCAGAGAGTGCAGAGAGAGACTAGGAGCAATGCGAGTGTCCTCCCGTATGAGAAAGGGAACTCGTGGAGCCCGGACATCTGGTGCAAAGAGGGGGAGCTGTTGAAACGCACAAGGAAAGGTAAATTCAGATTTCACAACATGCATTCATCCAGCTACAAAAATCAGGATCGAGATGCATAAAACCTTCGAAGCATGGCCGAAAAAGCTAAGGTGCAGAGTTTCGTTCTTGATGCAGGGGGTTTGCACAAAATAAGAGTATCTATCTACATCAACAAGAGGTCACAGGTAAGAAGATTTCCATCGTTCAGTTCCAAATACTGGTCAGACTAGAGACAGATGCACAGTTACTGACAACATATACATATGTAACAACAGGTGATACTGAAGCTGAAAAGCAAACACATAGGAGGTGCGCTGTCAAAGAACAACAAGAGTAAGTTCCGATATCTACTACCGAAACATTGAGTCCAACAGACCAGTAGTTTATGAAATTCAAGTTCAGTACCAACCCTTTCGCTTGTAACTGGTACAGGCGTGGTTCACGGCGTGTACAGCGAGCTGCCAACGTGGGCTGAGCCAGGGAAGGACTGTACGGAGGAGACATGCTGCTTCGGCCTTAGCACGGCGCAAGGTCTAGTGGAGTTCGAGTGTGACGGCAACGCGAGCAAGCAGAGGTGGGTTGACGATGTGCAGAACCTGCTTCGTCAGGCGGCTCTGCATGATCAAGTAGGAAATAAACTGGGATTAGTAAAACTCAGCTAGTGCAGCCTCAGTATATCCACTCTTATGGTAGCGGATTGCTGTGTCCTGCATCAGCGACGTGAGGGGTACATAACATATTGGTCGTACTCTTGTCACTGACTTACATGCTATACCACATACGGAATATATTGTATGTTTTGTAAAGGACCGGAGCAGACAATCAAAATCTTCGGAAGGATGCTGATCGCTGGTTTTCTGAAAAACCAGCTATATGCCGAGTTTTAAGGTCGGTTAGGTCCAAGGGTGGACGTTCGGTCTACAGGAATCAAACTGATCAGCGTTCTAAAAACAGAGACAGGTCGATTAGGTTTTAAACCCGGAATCGGGCAACTTCGGTCTCGATCACGACTGAACTACCCGGACTAGACTAACAGCCATAAAATGGCAAAATTTGTAGCAAATTTCATCAATATTTTTTTCTATTTCATGGCAAAAATGACAAGACAACATATAGATAGAACAAAATGATAAAAAGAGTCATAGTTGATACAAACCCACCAAAAGTAATATTACATCATTAATAACAGTCCAAATTATGCATTATGACAACAAAGTCCAAATGTTCGGTTAGTTCGGTTATCCGAGGCATATAATCGAACCAATCATAAAAAGTTTGGTTAGTATGGACTCAAGACTGAACTAGTGACCGGAAATTTCGATCTCATTCTCCGTCAGTTTGGTTTGGCTTTCGGTTAATTGTGCCCAGCCCTAGTTAGGCGGGGTTTGGTAAGGTTGTCATAATGTAGAATAGATTTCACCATTTCATTCCTCTCTTTGAGACGATCGAAAAGCATATATAGAACATCTAATTTGAAGTCTAAGAAAGTTGTGGCCTGGGAAGATTCACCCTGTAGAAATCGATTAGGCGGGGTATAGGCTAGGCTGGGTTGATAATTACATTGTTCTGCTTGATCAACTGTGCCTGTGCAAATGAAAAGTGCCTCTATATGCAACGTTGGGACAAAGTGAACCGTGCCTTGTCCTCTGCAGGTCATCTCTATGTCTATGTAACATCAAGATGGAACATACTGTCTCTAGAACTAAATGACCATCTCTACATGCAACTTTTAGATGAGTTGAATTGTGTCTATTATATGCAAGGAATTAGCGTAGAGACACACCAACCATGTCTAGCTAGCCCGATGTAAATTGTCATCTCTAAGAGATCAAGGTGAGAAGTGTCTTAGTCTCATCCATGTGTGATGAATGATTGACATGAGAGTTGAGAGGTTTGAGGTTTTTTTAGTTCAATCAATTTTCATATGTACTTGATTATGCAAATGGCTGACCGGAGATGTCGTGTATGCATTAAGTATGTTCGTGCAACATGTCTCTTGACTTGTAAGTGTGTAGGTGTTGGGTGCGCCAAGATAGTCGCAGTAACGGAGAAGGTCAAGTGCAAAGTCCGTACGCAATGGACTGGAAGTGGCGAGGGGCGAATGAGAAAGCTTGAACCTAGGGACCGGGAACCAGAGAACAGACTGTTTGCAGCTCACATTGGCATAGGAAGAGCAAGAGTACATGGGTGATGATACGATGTCAGCCAAGTCAAGGAGGAGGGAGATGGCGTTGTGGCACTTGGCGGAGGCTGGACAAACATCTTCATGGGTGATGAAGACGACGTCGATCAAGTCAAGAAGGAAGGTGAAGGCGTCAACCTTGGCGTAGGTTGGACACTCCTCGACATCGATGAGTCACTCTTGGTGAGGCATGCATGAAGATTTGTTGGTTTAGTTCTCAAAATGAGCAAGAATGGTTTGGTGGATTGGGCCTTAATACCATCGGCGACAGGTTTGACCATTTTAGGTCTCAAAATCAGGGGAGACGGATCGACAGACACGTGGTGAAATATCGGAGCTTACGTCGACGTGAAGTAGAGTCGAAAAGGCACCGAGTCTATTGGATCATTGAAGAAAAACTTGGGCGCTTTTACTCCTAGGTGGTATTTGGGCTAAGCTCAGAGATTGGACTTTCATTTGTTAGGTTGTGATTTTTTGAGTTAGGGTTAGAGAGAGGGAGAGAGAAGACCTTTGATTGAGCCTTTTGTCATCCTAAGCTTTGATGTGCTAGGAGTGACTCATGACGTTGTTCAAAGATCAATTTCGAGCTCCACTTGATCCCCTCCACAAATCTGAAGTTTAATTTCCTGTGATTCTAGGAGTTACTTTTTACTTTTTACGATTTTTCATTCTTATTATTTGGATACAATTTGAGGCAAATCAGTGCTAGGACACATGTGAGTAAGGCTAGGGTGATTCTCCATCTAATCTCTCACTTGAGCACCTCGAATTTGAGTTTTTCATAAATTTCTCCTGTCACTTAAGGTTCTTTGGTTTTCTGAAAGTCTGAATCCTTTTAAGATGTTTTTGTTGGAATGAATCATTTGTGATGTGGTGAGGCTACTGTGAAAATTCCATGTCCTGAGTCATGTTGAGTTGGATTTAGTAAATGAATGTGGCGTTTGATTGTTGTTTAGTCTGCAGGCTGTTCTCAGTTCTACTTGTTTCGGTCAATAGCAGCAGCTGCTGTGCAGCTTGGCGGCAGTAGTGCAGCCACCAATCAGCTCATGGCAACACCATCCCAGCAGCTCGAGGCTTTATTTTCCTCAGGTGAGTAGCAGGTTAACGGACTTACATTCATCTGTGCATTATCTTTGTTCAGTCTGACAGGAACAATGGTGCCGAAGGACTGCAGTGCTCTGTTTTCTTGTTTGCAAGATGCAGTTCGGTTCTGTAGGCTGTAATAACACTTTGCTTTGTCTTAATTGATCTACGATGCTAGCAAACAATCAGTTTAATTGTCACTTGAGCATTAGTGCATAGCATTAGTTTATCTGTTGAGTCCTGTGTGATCTGGAGCTTGATCTTTCTCGTGAATTTTGTGAGCTCTTGAACTGACATGCCATCTTGTTTGTAGATGCTCTGTCCTAGTAGCTCTACATGCTCTAAAGTACAAGATTTTTTTTTTCGCGACCGGGGAATATAGCCCGTTTATCATTAAGACGAAGAGAATTACACGACGCAGCTATGAGAGAGCCCTCGTAGCACAGATTACAAACCACCAAGCAAGCAGTAAGTGACCTGGAATACAACTTAGAGGAACAAGAAAAAAGAACAAAAGAAAGAGCGACTGCCCTCAAAACCCGAAACCTACCAACTGAGCCTGCAAACAAGATACAACAACACAATGGTCGCCTACAAGCAAGACAATGCCATGGTGGCAAAGTATCCACCCCAAGTAGCAACGGCGACAAAGCATCCGCAGGGAACGGTCATGACACACTCGGCAGCAAAGCATCTGCCAGAGCAGAGGCCAACGACAGCAACGGCGGCAAAGCATCCACCAACGAAGAAGACGCCCACTGCGGCAAAGCATCCGCAGAGGGAGTGGCCATGATACACTCGTCAGTAAAGCATCTGCCAGAGGGAGGCCAACAACCAATAGCGGCAAAGCATTCGCTATGAAAGCCCAGCGACGAAAGCAAGGACAATTGCTGCAGGACAAACCATCGCGAGCAGAGCAAAGGCACAGACAGGCACAACGAGGAACTCCACCACAAACCAACAGAAAGAACCATGGAAGCCGGCGACCACACGGAGCCAAGCGACAGAATCTTCAGCAACGCCTTCAGGTAGGGGGTGACGTCCAAGGGTAGAACCGTAGACGCCATCGCCGCTGGCCATACAACATGTAAGGCAGGGCTTTCGCCCAGAATCCGTCGCTGCCGTCGGGGAGCATGGGTTCATCAACGACGCCTCCAAGAAGGTATGTGGCGCCCGAGGCGTCACCGTCGCCGGCCCGGCCAAAGCCGAGCTGAACTTTCGCCCAGAACTCCATGCAGATCCCACCGACGCCCAAGAGCAACAGCAGGGGCGCCGACTCTGTTCCGCGGTTCCGGCACCGGTCGCCGTGAGCGCGAGCCAGCCAGCCACAGAAGGCCGCTGCCCCTAGCCGCCAAGAAGCCCGCCGCCGGTGCGGGCGTGCAGCACCAGTTGCAGCGCCTACCGTCCACTAGATCCGGTCCCGGCGCGCCCACATTGTTTCCCGCTGTCGTGGTGTGCCACGAGGAGCAGGCCGCAAGCACGAAGACCTCGGAGGCGCGGATCCAGGGGGCGCCCATGGGCTGGCTCAGCGGGTCGACGCCACCGCAGCCCCCGGCCACGAGCGAGTGCGGGAAGTGGCCACCTGGCGACCTGGTCGCCGGATCCGGCCGCCACCTGCTTGGAGCGCGCGGCCACCGGCTCGCCATGGCCCGGCCCAAGCCAGATCCGGCCACGAGAGAGGGGCGCCGCCACCACAGAGCCGCAACAAGCCAAATCCGGTGCCTAGACCTAGGAGCGCCGCCGGCCACTGAGCTCCTGCCACTGGATGAGGAAGAGGTCGGGGAGGGCGAGGGGGAGGAGAGGAAACAGTGGGAGATGGGGAGGAAGGCGCAACTGCGGCCATTTTGAGCAGCAGTACCGCAGGCCGCCGCCACCGCACGCCGGATGGGGCGGCGACGGCGGCCGGAAGGGTGGCCCGGAAGGTTCCCTCGGCGGCGGCTGCAGATGCCCCCCGAGTCACCACGGGAGGGACGACGCGGGGGTCAGCAGGATTTGTTTTTTTTTCTTTCAAAAGTACAAGATTTGACATTTCTGCTTGCTCATAGCTTGTCACAGTAGTGTGCATCATCCCGAATGCTTTTCAATTTCTTTCCTATGGTTTCTTTAGTCAAGCCTTTCATGCACAGTGTACTTGGTTTATTTAATTCCAGCATGAGCATGTCTCTTCTGAATTGGCACTTGGTTTAATATTTCACATTTCTTGGGTGCTGTTGTTAGCTTGTTGGGTTAGAGCTATTTTTAATGGATTAATTGAACCGCAGCCGCAGTACCTTAAGAAATACTTAATTATTTCTAGGGTGAGCACATCAGTAGTTGGCTTGTGTCACTTTGGTGATTAGGAGAGAGTGATATTGGGTCATAATTAGACTTGAGTATTTTTCGGCCGAGCCAGGCAAA